TGGTTGAGGGATTAGCCAGAAGGCCAAGCTTAATATATAAGGTTCACAAATATTGGAATTGACTATATGTTTATATATATATATTTCTATATTCAAACAAGGGATTCCCAAATCCTGGTTTGTATAATTAGCTATTCTACCAGGAGTAGGCTTAGCAACCCTAAACCCAAACCTTAAAACCCCTAATAAACCCTATAAACCCTGGACCCCTAAATCCCATAAACCCCTAAACCCTAAACCCAATCCCCCAAACCCCTAAAACCCTAAAGCCCTGAACCTACAAACCCCTAAACCCCTAAATCCCTAAACCCTATAAACCCTATAGCCCTAAATCCCTAAACCCTGAACCCCAAACTTATGACCCCTAAACCCCCAACCCCTAAAACCCATAAACCCCTAAACCTTATAAACCCTAAACTCAAACCCTAAACCCCCAAACCCCTAAAACTCTGAACCCTATTATAATCCCCTAAACCCCTAAACCCCTAAATCCCTAAATCCTATACTAGGGCTCTCGGGCGCGGGGGGGGGGGTGCCCGAATAGTTTGGGGGAGTGCCCCAATCGTGATAAGAAGCCACGGCTTCAGACATGAGCCAGAATTCGAGAAGATGGCGCTTGATCGCTCCGATGTCCCTTGGACATGAGTCGCGATGTGCTAGATCATCCTCGTACCAGTCACATTCAGGTCGGCTCTGAGAGCGACTGTTAGAGCGACTGTCGTGACTTCGTGAAGCGACGACGACGACGAAGTGTCAGCCGTGTCCGCCCACAGTCGTTTGGTCGCCAGCTTCGCCATGAAGCCGCGTGAGTGGCCAAGTCAATCTTCATCCGGATCCGCTTCTTGCAATGTCGCTTTCGCTCGCATCCGCGAGGTTGAGCCAGGATCCGTGAGGTTGCAAAGCTCCATGACAGTGTGCTGGTCGATGGCAAAAAACTAGTACTAATGAACACTTGTTTATCCTTATTAGCCCTAAAGCCTGCATGAAACCCAACGATCCCTATCATTCTACTATTAATATATAGCCAGCCAACTGCCAGTGCAAATGTTCGGATGATTCTGCCTCATGATACATGTAGCCCTAAACCTATCTACACCTTATAACCACGAGGCCCCTAGACCCCTTGGGATCTTGAAAGATCTATGGAGTCAATTGAGTTCACATCGATTCCCCTGTACCCACATTAAAACCCCTTAAACCCTATAAACCCTTCTAAACCTTATATACTATAAACCCCTGAACCCTATAAACCCTAAACCCCTAAACCCTATAAACCCTAAGTGGATGTAACTGGAAAGCTCATGTCGCTAATTCCGCGAAGTACAGATGACCTTCCGAATCCCAAAGCATTTAAAAAGCCAGAACCTCCAACCACAGCCAATAGACCATCAAAGCCAACAAACCCTGACAGCCGACTGATCCTATATTCCGGGAGTTTCTGTCAACCCACTAATGCCACTAAACCTTGTGTTAGCCTCCTTCAAAGACCATATTGAAAAAAAACAGAATTTCGAAAATCTGCACATCCTGAGATCTTATTGGCCCGCAAAACCCTAGACAAACCCAGAATAACCTCATTCTCCCGCAAGGCTCGTGCCGAAAATCCAGCAGAACATCGCCACCTGCGACACCGTGCAGAGTCAGCTCAATGACATTTGGGTCGATGGGTCCGTGGAGGGCTTCACAAAAGCATCGAGTTTCAGCAGCAGTGCATGCAAGGTTCACATTTTGTCTTCGTTTGCTAGCAGAGCAGTTCTCGGATATGTGGCAAGACTTGGGAGGCAGCAGATGCAGGCCTTGTACAAGCAGGGCAAGCGCACGACTCTCGAACGCAGATAGGTTTTGCAGTGAGGTGCCAGGGACCTTATTGCTTGGTGGCTTCTTGGGAGATGCTCATTGCTTACTAACGGAGCTACTGTGAGCGCAGTGCTAGAGCAGGTGCCCACCGGTTGTTGATGTGTTCATTATGTACCTCGAGGTCTACGCTTAGTACCTATATACCCCCCAAACCTGCAGCTTCCAGAGGCCCGTGCAAACCCGAAAGCTCCAAGGCAGCACTAGTAACAACACCACACCCTATGTAGATCACGTGGATTCCACAGATAATTTAAAGCAACCAGATAAAATCCTTTCATCGGTCGAAACTTTAGATTCACCCTCATTTCCCTTCTGTGAACCCCGAAAAACACAAACAATCATCAGCTCTTATCGTAACTTTGGGGCTATATGTGTATGTGGTGTATATCTTTGTAGATTTCTCAAGAGCCTCTCTAAGTAGATGACCAGAACCTCCTGAAACCCTGGAGCACCTGTGACCTTCAATTGCCTGCTCTAGACCAGAATACAAAAACCGTATGTATATATGCCCAATATGCATAACCAAGCCAGCCGAGATTGCTTCTGGGGTGCTGGGTTTTGGTGTTTCTGAGATCCCCGACACAAGGTAAATGGTATACGAGTATGCAGCTACATCGGACTCAATCTTATAACCCCTTAGAATGTACAAGGATACAGTTCGACCCGCATTGGTGTTCCTTCTCCGAGGGCTTTGGAGTCGATCAACCTGGACTCCCGTGTTCGGTCTGCCATCCCGAAGAAGCGTGCAGAGCCCAAGAAGGGTGGGGCTGTTGGGGGTGGCAAGGGCAGCAAAGGGGCCGGTGCCAAAGGCAGCAAGGGGCATCCATCACCGGAGCAGGATGCAAACCCGAAGGCAAAGCCGGAAACCCGTCGCAAGGGCAAGCAGCCTGCGTGATATCTGTGCTCCTTCTGAGTTTTGCAGGATGGATGTGTCAGCAAGTGACTGTAGCTAGATTCGCCACCGATGGTCACACACACATGGCCTGCAGCCGACTTTGATCGTCTGAGCTGTATTCATCCAAATGCCTGCATGCATCTCTTCGTGATCTGAAAGCATCATGAGACATTATCTTCAGTGAAGTCCCGGTGCCATCACGTCGATGGGTCAAGCATGTGTGCAAAATGAGCATTATGCGTTCGCAATGCAAAGAATGGTAGTGGACAACTTCCATCTGCACTAATGACATTTTCTAGACCCAGCGCAGGTGAGCCGGTGGTGGGGCCTGCCGCTTTCAACTTGGTACGTTCTTTAGCAAATGGAGCTGCTTGGTCTCACTCCAGATCATAAGATGTCTTCCCGAGAAAGGTCCGGGTTCTCGAAGGTTTCCTACTGGGGGTGTGATTGGCTTTCCGGTATGTAGTTGGGGTCTCATACGTAGGTGGGGCTATCATATAGATATAGGCTAATAGGCTAATAGTCCCGGCTTTATATCCTTTCTAAATAGTTCCACCCCGAAACGAAAGGCCTCTCGAGAGCTGCGCAGCTCGCGCAGATATCGCCCGCCGCCCTGGGGTGGTCGTGGGATTGGCTTGTGGGGCTCCGAACCAAGTATAATACCCGCCATGCTTTAGATCCTATTTAAATGCCTACCCAAAACCTCCTAGCTAAATCAAACCTTTCCAGCTGCACCCAAAACAACCACACATATGTAACTCTTGTCTATCCAGGTTATACTAGCTCCAAACACTATGCCAAAAAGTTTCAAGCTACACCTGACAAAAGCTCCACAAAACCACCTTTGCAAAAGCTCCTACGTTGCTAGACAGCAAGCTTCCAAACAACCACCCACAAGGTCCACAAACCCTATACACCTGAAGCCCAAATACCCGGAACCCACCGAGAAAGAAAGTCCATGCAAGCCCTTCAAACCTGCATGAAACCCAATCCCAGCAAACCCTATGTGTATGTAGTGGTCCCCCAAGGGTTGTATGGATGGATGGTGTACTTGTGTTGCTAACTACAGCTGAGATTTGTACACATGCAGGTAGCCAAACACATGAAGGTGTTGGCCAAACATATGTGTGCAACTGTTTGTGTGATGATGTTATGTGTGTGTGTGGGTATGCATGTCTGTAGGCTGTACAGGCATGTGTGTATACATGCGATGCATGTGTCGTCATCTAAGGATACAGCTGTGAGTGTGGTGCGCAATGCGAAAGCTGTCGAGCAAGAAGCGCCGCTACTGTTGAAGGGAATGAGGCAACTTTCTGCTGTAAACCTTTCAAGAGCCGAGAGCAAACTACACCAAATCATTCGGTCTTGGGGAATGGCACTCCCTCTGGACATATATTACTTCAGCAGGTGTTTGCTTTTTGCCCCGATGATTAAGTCGAGCATGTGGCTGGAATATTTGATTGTCAAAAAATCAAAGATTCTCTTGGGTGGCTTCGGTAAAGATGATCCTCGAGCAGGTGGACTTTTGGCAGCATGGTGGGAATCGTACCGTCAGGAACACCCGAGCCATGTCATTTTCGAGAGTGGCAGGCCTCTTTCAAAGTGCACCCCTATCTGCTTGTATGCCGACGAAGGGAGGGGACTACGTTGGCGGACCTCATGGACTCCCCACCATCGCTTCTCCCGGCCCGGCATTCGGAGCGCCTGTACCCGGGGCACATCATTCTCCTCTTGCTCCCTCGCCACCGACATCGGCTATGGTCTTCCCCACCCCGATGGATCAATTGCGCTATGAGCAAGGACCTCAGCCACAGACCTTGGAAATTCATCTCCAGGGAAGCTGGACCTTACGATTGTCGTCGGCGGCATTGGGCTCCACCATGGGCTCGACAACGGCAACGGCTATGCCAGGCTCGACTATGGCAGTGCCCTCAATGGCAACGACTCCCTTTGCGATCATCGCCCCACCGTTGCTGCCAGCACCGGTCTTCTCGAAGGCATCGACCAGTAGCAAGGCACCACCACTGCCCCCGCCACCAGGCACCCCGTAATCGGTGTGACAAGGCCTACATCGAGCTGGACGATAGAGGGACTATGCTGCTTAGATCTGAAAGGATCCTCTCTGCACGACTGCCTTCCGATTTTTTGCAGAATTGGACACAGCTGATCACTGCAGTGCAAAGACGTGCCCACACACCGTCCTGCCACCAACATGTTCTTCACGTGCCTACCCCCTCTGATCACTCAGGTCATTTGGCCAAGGGAGCGTGCCCAGGCCTCAAGTGGAGTTCACAGTATCCCCACAGGTGCGCATTCAGCTTGACCCTACCCGGTAGCAGCTGCTTCTCCCGACCAGTAAGGGTGCTCTCAGTCAGTGCACTACGCAGTCTCGACAGACCCCGTCCACGGACTGCCCCAAACCCAGCCGGCATCTTGCACCATGTATCAGCAGACTCAGCACAAGCTCGGGCATCGGGAGGTTCCCCTCCGATTGTTTCATGCCCTCAGGTGTGTGCCCGTCTCCTGCCCGGCTGCCGCAGACAGCCAGGACTGAGTTGCGGCACAGCGGCCATGCATTTGCAGTGTCAAGCCCCACCTCTGCTCTCGTTCTCCTTTTGGCCAGTGCTTGCACCACCTCTGCATGACCCCGGGATTTCTTGCTACACACATCGCGCTCTCGTAGAGCAAGGGGCTTGCAGGAAGCAGGATCAGTCTAGTAGCCCAAGGGGTACATTGTTTTGGATAGGTGCGCTCAAGAAAGCTCTCACTATGAGAACACTGCCACTACATCCTCTCAGCCCAAGATAGCTAATCTCTGCTCCACAACGGCCATCCAGCAGAAGTTATCACTGCCTCTAACTGCAGCAATGGTCCGGGAAAAGACAGAACGAGACTATCGCCGGGAGGCTGCACGTCCAGATAAACGGACCCGAGAGCTTCTTCGGCAACAACAGGAGAGTCCAGAAGCTAAGGGCTCTGCTAGCAGAAAGGGGAGTCACAAAGGTGCCAAAGGAAAGCTGAAAGGTGTACTCCGAGGAAAGGGTAAGGGTGGCTCTGGCCGCCCCCCCTCTCCGACCACTCCACCTCCTGGTGTTTCTGGTGAGAGACAGCGAGCCAGGCCGCCTTTGACATTATTCTCCCGTCGTGCATCTTCTTCTGAACCGCTGCGCCCTCGCGAACCGCCATACCCACCTCCGGTACGTGATGATGCCGGCGAAGAGGAAGTGGTAGAAGTGGAGGTTGAAGCGGAGGGGGAGACAACCTCTGTGATCCCACAGCCGGCCACACCAGAGGAGGTAGTCCCTGAGACTCCACCTCCACTTCCTCCCGCAGCTGCTCTGGATGTACAGGAGGCTGAGCCCATGTCGGCTGGGGTGGACATCTCCGAGGCGAAGGAGCCCATACGGCATCACCTGCCACCCAAGCCCAAGATTCGACCTCAGCCCTCGCCATCTCCGACGGTTGCCGTCCCGGTTGCCATGCCACAGCAGGAGAAGACACTGCCCAACAGGGACAATGTTGAGATGGACCCCCTTCGAGCTCCCACCACGGTGCGAATCAAAGGCTCCATTGGGCGCCAGCTGGCGTCAAGAGCGCGAAGCATGGGACTGCAGTCTGCAGTTAAGTCCAAGGCGAAACCCCTCCGGATCCAACCCAAAGGAGGATCGATGCCCTCTACTCCCGCAGCCACTGTGGATGAGGATGCAACGACTACGGCGATCAGTGGCATTCCCTCTTCGGGCTCCACTCCGCACACAGCAGAACCTGGTACAGCCAGAACAGAGGCCCGGGAGACGGCTGCCAATGATCTCCCCGCACCAGTGCTCGTATATCCCTCGTTGGATGGAACACTGGCAGAGCTTGGCCCTCTCTACAGACGAGAAGCCACTGCATCAGATGCTGCCACTGGCACGGAGGGCCCAGCTGAATGGCAGGTTGAGGTGGACGGAGTACGAAGACCCCTGCCTGCTATGCCGGAATGGATCAGGGAAGTCTTGGCACATAGACCAACCCCGGCAGCGCCCCTCACAGCCGCACCCGTTCGCGACGGTCGGGAACCGCGGGCTGGTCCGCCACATGGGGCGAGAGCCTCAGACTCGAACTCCGGTACCAGCATCGCGGTGACCAGAGTCAAAAGGTCGAGAAGTTTCAGTCCAGCCCGAAGCAGCCCTGCTGTGAACCTTTCGGCAGGGGCCGAAGCCGAAGCAGAACCGATGGACAAGACGGGGCACGAGAAGACCTCGAAAAAGGCGAACAAGAAGGATGCAAAGAAGAAGGAGAAAAAGAAGAAGACAAAAAGATCTTCCAGACGCAAGCATCGCCGTCGTCGCAGCTCCAAAAGCCCTACCTCAGACTGCGAAGATATGGCACCGACGGCCGCCGATACAGACATCCGTGAGGAGGCCTCTAGCCGACACCCTCCTCCGGAAGGCACGGAGGCAGCAGCTGACCCCAAGCCTGCTGTACAGCCGGTAGCATCTGCACTGACGCCCACCTCGCCAGCTGAAGGCGAGAGAGACCACTCCAGCATCAGCGAGCTTGAGTACATGCATTGCTGCTTGCACCTACCTGGAACCCCAACTCCTGCCCTTGATAGATCTGTTGCTTCTCTGTCTGCTGAAACCCCAACCCCTCTCACAGTGACCGACATGTGTGACGAGAGCAATCAATCTGCGTATCAACTTTCCAGGACACCCCTCCCTGGACAGGGCGGAGGTTGGCCTCCGCAAGCAGCCACTGGTGCCACTCCAGGCACGAGCGTGACAGCAAGGTTTGTACCAGGTTGGACATTAGCCTGTCTCTCACTTTTCTGCCACAGCCAGCCCCGCTTTCCTATCCAGACTCAGCCAGTAATCCACGGTCCATTATGTCATGGTAAGGATATCCATGATTACCTCGAATTACCATGCCTCTCATGGGAATGCTCCTCAGCTCCACTGAGGTTCAAGTCTTGTCAGGCCCCTGCGATCACGCCTGAGGTGGCACTCCTATGCTCGCCCATGGCAAACAAGGACCACACTGCTGATCAGGCAACGACTGCCCCTACAGGACGGCATCCAGGCACACCGATCGGAACTCTCGTGGCAGACTTCAGAAGGCATTTTCCTCGACCGGTAGCCTCGGCTGCGTTCGAGACGCCCGCACACTCTTTAGAGACGGCTACAGCTCAAGGCACAGGGGATCAGCCGATCACAACCCCACCCACCCTCCCCACGATCACCGTCTCTCCCCTCGACCAGAGCTCTCCTACGACCTCCACACCGTCCACCGTTGTGGTGAAGAATCGCAAGCGCTCTGGTCAGGCTCCCCGACCCAGTCAAGCTCCACACATCAGAGCCCTATCCTCTGATCGCGCTGACAAGGCTCGGAGAACTACCACACCTGAGTCCACCACGCCAGAGATTTCTTCCAGCTCAGGTAGGTCGGCAGATGCAGCTCAGCACGACGATGATTATGCTCCCCGCACCCACTCTCCCGTAGGATGGCTTCCAGAGGATGATACCTTGCTCAACATAGGAGGTCGCGAGGAGCTGCCATCAGTGCCATCCTCCACTGCACTAGGGAGGTCTGCAGGTCGCACAAGTAGAGCATGTGCAAAGATGTTGATCCGAACCGGATTGCGATGCCCTGGTTGTTACTGTCTTAAGGTACAATGCTGCTGTGCGGAAGGAAAAAGTATGCCCCTCGCGCTCTACTGTGCTCTGGGCATCACTCCTGTACGACGGAACAGCCTTGACACGTCGTCTCAGGCCGCCGGAATGCAACAGCGTGCAGGCCCGACATGGGAGGCTTATATCGCCCACTTTGCCCACGTTGCTCCGAAAGCATTCACATCTGGGATCCTCCCCTTAGCCCCACAACTGGAGGTTATGCACCCTCCGATGGACCAACCTCATATCGGCCAGAGTCACTCTGTGCCGCTGCAGGTCTATATTTGTGGCCCTGGTACAACCTGGGGCAGCCGCTTCTACAGGAGGCGCAGTGTTCTGGTTCTGAATGCTTCTAGCACTATCCTGTGGCCGCATGCCACATTCTCCCTGACTCGAGCCGTAACTCAGCTGTGTCAGTCAGCCTATTCATCAGCAGATAAAGACTCTATACACGACCCGTCCCCCCTGCCCCCAGCAAACCGGGTTTCCTCCATTCAATTCACCCGGCGATCACCCCCCTCAAACCAAGCGAGCCGTCCGGGTCCCAAGTCCCGGAGTGGAGAACTCATCTATGCCATCTTTTTCCACAGGCTATACCTATGTACAGGAGTCTCCACAGACGTGAGGGTTGCAGGTACAGTCACGAGACCTGCTGGAGCTAACACTGCAAGAAGCAGCATTAGCCCACAACGCATAGCAAAGCATCGTGGAACTGACGATTTTCGTCAGCAAGCCAAACCCATCCACCAAACTGTATACGCACAGCTTTCCAAAACAGGCAAACGCTCCTTCCACCGAGCCATCAACAGGGCCAGACAGTACGGCAGCACTAGGTACAAAAGGCCAGCAACACACCCTACAAACCCTGGGTTGTGCCGCTCGCTCGATGCCTTGTGCATCTCACAGCACAGCCAATGATCCCCCCGCTAGTTCCACACAACCCCGTACAGTG